ATCTTCCGATTAACTTGCTCGTCCTTTTTCTAGTGGTGGCCAGAGCAATCAGAATAAGGAAGGATCTTGGTTTGGCCATGACTTACAGCCATGAACTTAGACTCACGATGTTCCTCAGACATTGCTTGGTTCACAGCCCAGGGCCAAACTTCACCAGGTCTTCCTATTCATCTCCTCAACCTTTCAGTCAACTCTCAGCAGAGAAAGGGTACTACACCAGTTCCAGTTCCCTCCACTTCCAATTGCATTTGTCACTGGCATCACTGTTGTTGTTAGGGACCAACAACGGCTTGTATTGTGCTCTCTGGAGGATTTTGTATACCTTGGCAAATGCCCAGATCTGATAGTGAAATAGGACGGCTTTGTAGAGCATATTTGGCTCAGGAAGAGATTAGAAGTGAAAACCTAGGCTCTAGTTTCTTTTCATTTTCCTCTTTGCAATAATTCTCCCACTATTGCCTCCTTCCGTGCCACCAGGGTCAAAGGTATATATTATAGTCCATTTCCTGCTGCGTGGGAAGTATCAACATCCTGTGTTCATGGCTGCCTCTGCTAATCAGCGTCAACCGTGGAAATTACCTTGCTTTCATGGACTTCGATTACAAAGGAAACTTTTGCAAGGCTTGGGCCACCGAGGTCTATATTTGACATGCTTTACTTCTGCCCTGCGATTTCCTTTGCTTCAGGCGCTTGGCAAACTGACTCATATTTACGACGGTTGCAGTGTCCCAGGGCCTCGTGATCATTTTTTATAACCTTGCGGCCAGCAAAATCAATGGGAAAGGCAGATTCACTTAACAACTGTGGCAAAAATGGTTGTAAAATGAGGCAGAAGTCACTTCACAGAAATTTTGGACCCCATTGTTGCAGTCGTGAGTCAAGGACTTACCTGTAGTAGCCTCATCTTCATTGTATGTATTTAAGCAGAGGCTAGGCAACCCTCAGTCAGGGGTGCTCTAATTTGAATTCCTGTACTAAGCAGGGAGGTTGGACTTAATGGCCTCCGTGGCCCCTTCTGACTCTGATTCTGTATATCTTAAAACATTCTTTTTGAAGTGGGTTAATGGCTACGAGGAAGGAGAAATTACTTTTTCCTTGAAAAGCAGCCTCCCGTTATGAAATCCAAAAGCACTTCAATTAAATTCCAACCTGCTTGAATACCTGCTAAAACCTGTTGGAGCTTGCCAATAAGAGATAATTTGTTTACTAAACAGGGACTCTAATTAAAATAGCTGTTCTCAGTTCATGATAAAGAATAGTTCTTCAAAAAAAAAAAAAGTCCATTTAATTACCGGTCAGCCAAATAGTAAACAATTCATTTTTAAGCCATTCAGCCAAATCTTCATTAAACAGTCTTGTTAACATAAGAAATTAAAAAGCCATCTGTTTGATTTAATTATTTAATTTAAGTTTTACTTTGTGTGTGTACACACACACACACACACACACACACTTTATTACGCCTCCTATCTCCCCTACAAAGTGACTTTGGGTTGCTTACAAGTTATAAAATAAGTAAGAATAATGAAAGAATAAAAAGGTAAAGGTTCCCCTCGCATGTACGTGCTAGTCGTTTCCCGCTCTAGGGGGCGGTACTCATCTCTGTTACAAAGCCAAACAGCCAGTGCTGTCCAAAGATGTCTCTGTGGTCATGTGGCTGGCATGACTAAATGCCAAAGGCGCACGGAACGCTAATCTTCCCACCAAAGTGGTCCCTATTTTTCTACTTCCATGTTTACATGCTTTCAAACTGTTAGGTTCACAGAAGCTGGGACAAGTAACGGGAGCTCACTCCGTTACGTGGTGCTAGGGATTCGAACCACCAAAGTGCCAACCTTTCTGATCGACAAGCTCAGCGTATTAACCACTGAGCCACCGTGTCCCTTAATGAAAGCATTGTTGTTGTTAGTTGTGTCTGACCCATTGATCGAACATTGAAAACTGTACTAAAACCAAAACTAAGAGAACTAAGAGAGGGATGGGACAGGGATGACATCTTCTTACCCCATCAGCCACCTCCAGTGATGAGTGTGTCGTTGTCCCCCTTGAGGACCCAGGCCAACCGCAAAGCCAGAAGGCCAAAAGGGAGGGGGCAGTTCTCACTTCTGACAGAAGAATGTTTCACGGGGATGGAGCCACAGCAGAAAAGGCTCTTCTCCTTGAACCCACCTGCTAGAATTCCTTAGCAGACAGGATCCGTGGCAGGACTCTTTCACTGGCACAAGTGGGGCGAGCTTTCCCACTGGGGAGAGACGGCACCTCAGACACCCTGGGCCCGTGTGTGTTGTAGGGCTTCATTGCTTCAGTAGCAATGAAAATAATATTACAATATTATACGAGCCATGGTGGTTCAGTGGTTAGAGTGCAGTACTGCCGGCTAATTCTGCTGACTGCCGGCTGCCTGCAATTTGGCAGTTTGAATCTCACCAGGCTCAAGGTGGACTCAGCCTTCCATCCTTCCAAGGTGGGTAAAAGGAGGACTGAGATTGTTGGGGGCAATAGGCGGACTCTGTAAACCACTTAGAGAGAGCTGTAAAAGCACTGTGAAGCAGTATATAAGTCCAGGTGCGATTGCTATTGCTGTATTGGACCATTTATACTGATTTCCCCCCCCCTCATTTGACAAATAACAGGTAACTTTCCAATCTGGATAAAACAGTCCATATATAAGTACAGTAGGTGGGGATCATAATCTGCCAAGAGAGCTCCTTTGCTTCCCATCATTAAAGTGGACTCCAGAGCACCTGTTCAATTCTCCTTGTTACACATCTCAGGACCTTCTTGGTAATGGCCTCCCCTTGGCAAAAAACCTTCTTCGGGAAGCTAATTTGGCTGCATTTAAAACCAGAGAGTTGAAAAGGCGTTTGGAAGCCACGTGATGAAATTTTCTGGATTTTGTTTTCCTTCTTCCAGACTGTATTGAAGATGCAGCTTCAAAAAGATATAACTAACTCTTTGGTTTCAGAGTTGTTGTTTTTGAAAGTGTTATGTCTTTTATATCTTCTGGGAGGAGAACATATAGGGCTGAATGGAAGAGTGCTTTTAGAAATAAATTTAAGATGAATCCCTGAGGAATTGTGAGAAGCCACAAGCTATAAGGTCTTAGCGCTTATGCCTGCACAATAGTTGACTCTCTTGGTTTGGGGACAAACTAAAGCAGGGATCCTCAAACTTTTTAAACAGGGGGCCAGTTCATGGTCCCTCAGACTGTTTGGGGGGGGGGGCAGACTGGCTGGGCAGCTGTGGCTAAGTGATCATGTGACTGGGTGGGCGTGGCCAATTTAGCAGTCCATTAAACAACACACACAAATTAAACTTTAATTTGTTATGCTCCTGGGGGTGGAAAGCAGATTAGTGAAGGGATGTGGCTGTCTTGGGGGGGCGGGGTGAGGGGTGTTTCTATGTGTGTGTGTGTGTGTGTGTGTGTGTGTCTTTCTCTCCCTCCCTCCCTCTTTCTCTTGAGACCGGGTAGGCCAAAAACGGCCTCCATGTGTCCCAGTTTTGGCTTCTTCTGCCTCCAGAAGGCAGGGGTGGGTTGGTGGGGTGATGTGGGCAGCGCAACCTCATGGTCCCGTGTGGGCCGGATTAAAGGCTTTGGAGGGCCATATCTGGCCCACAGGCCGTAGCTTGAGGACACCTGAACTAAAGTTTCTAAAGAAATCCCTCGTCTCACGACCAGCAAGGAGGCAGGATAGAATTGGGAAAGGTCACTTTGAAAGAAGGAAAGTTTGGGTCTTTTTGCTATCCTCAGAAATGGATTGGCCAACGAAGGCAATCAGCAGGGAAGGGACAATGGCTTATGAAAGAAAACCTGCTAGATCCGTGATGGCGAATCTATGGCACGTGTGCCACAAGTGGCTTGTAGAGCCATTTGTGTGGGCATGCAGGCCCCAGCTAAACTTACCCGCGCATGTGTGCGCCTCCCAGCTGATTTTTGGACCGTTTGAGGCTTTTTTCGGCCTCCCAGAGGCTCGAGGGAAGCCTCTGCAGCCTTTGGAGGCTGAAAAACAGGCCTGTTTCGTTACTTCCAGTATTTCTGGAAAAAACGGAAGTGACAAAACAGGCCTGTTTTTCGGCCTCCAAGGGCAGCAGAGGCTTCCCTCGAGCCCCCGAGAGGGCAAAAATGGCCTCCCCCAGGCTCCAGAAGCCATCCGGAGGCTGAAAACAAGCACTTCCGGTATTTCCGGAAGGCCCATTTTTCAGCCTCCCGAGGCTGCAGAGGTTTCCCTCGAGCCTCTGGGAGGCCGAAAAAGGCCTCAAACGGGCCAAAAATCATCTGGGAGACGCACATATGCCAGCGCAGGTAAGGGGTGTGTTTGTGTGTGTGTGTGTGGTCTCATGCACAGGGGGCACAGGGCGCATTGCATTGTGGGTGCCAGCACGCAGGGGCTTTCAGCACACCACAAGAAAAAGGTTCGACATCACAACATGAATAAAACCTATACAACCAGGGGGGAAAACACTTCCTTGCATAGTTGAAACTGTCAGAGTGGCTACAAAAAAAAAAAGGATAATTCATGAAAGCCAGGCCTGTCTGTTCAATCTGGAAGCCTCAATATTTTCTGCCGATTGAGGAAGGCCTGCCTCCAAATACCAGGGAACACCAGGGGAAAGATATACGGTATTCATTTCACACCAGTGACTCATAGCATCTTCTAATCTCATCCAACCATGGCTGAGCCAAAATTGCAGTAATCAGGACAAGCTTTACATCATTTCAATGATAGCAGGAAGATGTTGTACAGAGGTCATAAATCAGCAGCGGAGAAATGTTCCGTGTCTCAGTATCCGGCTTTAAAAAGCATCTGCCCCAAGGCCAGGAACATTTCGTTGCCTTGCTGTGGGAAACAAAAGTTTGAACGCAGGTGGGCCTTGCTGTGACCCAGCGCGGGCTGGTCTTAGGTTTTGGCATTGTGGTATTTTGGCATGAGAAAAGCAGCCTTCCCCCGAATCCTTTCCTTCCGCCTCTTTCATTGGAAATCTTGCTTTGTTTTATCCAGGTGCTGGGAGAGAATGAGAAACCTTGGAAAGCTGTTTTGGTTGCCTTGACGGAGAAGGATCTCTTGATATTTGAAAGCATGCCACGCATCAAGGAAGCTTGGTTTAGTCCACTGCATTCCTACCCTCTCTTAGCTACCAGGTATGTTCTTTTTTTTAGCCCAGAATATATATCAGAAGTGATATTCAGCAGGTTCTGACCAGTTCTGGAGAACCGGTAGCAGAAATTTTGAGTAATTTGGAGAACCGGCAATTCCCCCCTCTGACTGGCTCCGCCCCCATCTATTCTCTGCCTCCCGAGTCCCAGCTGATTGGCTGGGTCTTCTTTGGTTGCCCTGCACAGGAGAACGGAGATGGAAAGCAGGTTAGTGGGGTGGGGAAGGAATGGGATTTTGCAGTAACCTTCCCCCAGGAGTGGGGTGGGAATGGAGATTTTACAGTATCTTTCCCCTGCCACGCTCACCAAGCCACACCCACAGAACCAGTAGTAAAAAGAAATTGAATCCCACCACTGATAGATAGATAGATAGATAGAGCTTGGGAGGCTGATCCCTGGTGGGAGGAGCACCCTGTGGACTTGCTGTCAGGCAGGGTGGGCTTGGCTGAGCAGGATCCTGGATATTGGGCTTGTGGTCAAAGCCCCCCTTCCTCTGACTCCCCCTAGGTCAGGGGTCTGCAACCTTAAACACTCAAAGAGCCATTTGGACCTGTTTCCCACAGAAAACAAAACACCGGGAGCCCCAAGACATGGGTGGGCGTGGCAACTCAATGTCACTCCCGCTGAGTCACATGACCCCCCAGGTTTTGTGGTTTTCTATGGGGAACAGGTTTCTCTCTCTCTCTCTCTCTCTCTCTCTCTCTCTCTCTCTCTCTCTCTCTCTCTCTCCTTCCTCCCTCTCCCATCTCTCTCTCCCTCTATCTCCCTTTCCATCCTTTCCTCCTTCTCATCTCTCTTTCTTTCTCTCTCCCTCTCCCTCTCCTTCTCTCTCTCTCTCCTCTAACTCTCTCTCTTTCTCTCTCTCTATGCCTCTTCCTCCCTCCTTCTCCCCCACTCCCCCCTTCCCAACTCCCACACCCAGGGAATAACTGTAAGGAAATTTGGCCGCGTTCTTTTTGTCTCTGGAAAGATACAAAAATAAACCTTGCATTCCAAAAGGAGTGACAGTCAGGCTGTTACCTCACAGTGCTACGCGGTTGCTGCCTTAGATCGCTGCTGAATCCTCGCAAAACTGGGCAAAGACAGAGAGAGGGGAACAGACAGAGCTGAACTGAGCCGAATCTCTCTCCCTCCCTTTGTATCTCTCTCTCTCTCTCTGTGTGTGTGTGTATGTATCTCTCTCTCTCTCTCGCTCGCTCCCTGTCTGTGTCTCTCCTCACTCTCTCAGAAAGCCCTTCGTGCTCTCCTTGGGACTCTTCGCTGTCCCCTTTCCTTTCTTCCTTTTGGAGATCTGGGCTGGCTGAAGAACGAGAGGAGGAGGAGGGGGAAGAGGGAAGCCTCCACTGCGGCTTCCGCTTGTTCCTCAGCTAGCCCGGATTTCCAAAAGGAAGGAAGAAAAAGGGATAGCAAAGAGCCCCGAGTAGAAGAGCACGCAGGACTTTCCAAGAGAGTGAGAAGCTTCTTTTCTTTCTTCTTGGCGAGTTTTTGGAAATCCAGGTTGGCTGAGGAACGAGCGCAAGCCGTGGCGGAGGCTTCCTCCCTCCCTCTCCCCTCCTTCTCCTCTCGTGCACACCCTCCAGGCCCCACCACCAGCCGGCTCCATGGCTGTTTGCTGCTCTTGCAGCACCTGTGCAGCACACTCAAATTTAGTGCATTTTACTCCGTCCTCTCCTCCTCCTCCTGGAGCCCATTACAGTGCGGTGCATCGGAGCTGCCGCGGTGCAGCAGTCAATGGGGTGACCCTGCAGGGCCTCGAACGCCCCCCTGCCGCCTCTTAGCACCCCCCTGCCAGCCCCCTTGCCTCTTAGCGCCCCCCTAAGGTATCCCACCGCCCCCCGGGGGTGGTACCACCCACCTTGGGAACCACTGCTATAGAGAACAATGGGTTCACTTAACCACCATTGGGAAAAAAAGATCCTAAAATTGCCAGGCTCCATTAGGGACTATAAATACCGTAGATAGTCAAGGACTATCTTTGACTTTCCATATCAAAGGTTCTTCCCATCCATCCATCCAAAACACATACAGAATTTTAGCCCCTTTCCCTGTGTAGGGCCTTCAATGGGTAGTTTTCATAATTCATAGCTATATTACCCTCTCAATTTGGCCGTCTGAGAAGATACACAGAATTGTGCTACTGAAACCTGGAAGCTGCTGATGTGCCAGAAAGCATCCACATAGCAAGGCCTCTGATGGGAGGGGTGTAGAACACCAGTTTATCATTGGATCACCCTTGAGGTCATCTAACTGATAAGACCAAAGCAGTGATTTGAGGTTGTAACCTTGAGGAAACATCTCTTAGCCTCTTTGGAGAAACATGTGTTAAGCCCAAAGCACCCTTTAGAGTAGGAATCTCCAAACTTGGCAACTTGTGGGCCTCAACTCTCCATTCTGGCTGGGGAATTCTAGAAGTTGAAATCCATAAGTATTAAAAGTTGCCAAGTCTAGTGACCCCCCTACAATAAAGCATGGACCGTCAATAGAAGGTTCAGGCATTTGATCCGCTTCTCCTGCTCATCGCAGGAGAGGAGAGAAGTTCGCATGTTACCAGCTAAAGCTGGCCAATGTCGTGTTAACTGTTGAGCTTGTCACTAGGCTAAGGAAAAGGTTTCTCACATACCTGAGGAGAACAAATGGAGATGAATGACTTGTTGAAGGGTCAGCCTCCCAACATAATATTCTGATGATACAAGAATGAGAAACTTAATTACTGCGGGGGTGGGGGAATCAACCATCATGGTTTCCATACATGATTTTGGATTTAAAAACCAGCTCGTTGGCTTGAAATCATGCAATCAGCTGAAACTTTGACACACACACACCCCAACCCTAATGCATGTTTAATTAGACTGCAGTTTTTATTATTTTGAATTCCCAGTACCTGTCAGGCACACTTTGCCTGACTCTGGATTTGTTTTGTTCTGGAAACCACAAGAGAAACCTGAGAAATTTTGCAACCTCTGAACAACCCCACAGGCTAGCGAAATGTCTGTGGTGTCCAGTTCCCTGTTTCTATAGACAGGAAGGTTATCTTAGGACAACTACTTAGAAAAAGAACAACTAAGTTGCCACAAGCAGCACGCACCTGTCTGAAGTCAGAGGAGACTGGAAATATATATCGTGAGACACAGTTTCCTCTTCGAAAGATTCATCCCGCCAGCATGCTGTGTATTGTCATAATCAGTTACATCAGAATCCCAATATTCAGTTATTTTAGATACAGCTGGTCCTTGACTTAAGGATCACACATGAGCCTACATTTTTTTGCTGCTAAGCAAGGCAGTTGTTAAGTGAGTTTTGCCCTGTTTTACAGTCCTTTTTTGCCACAGTCGTTAAGGTTTAACAGCTCAATGACTGCAGTTTGTCAAGTGAACCATGCAGTCATTAAACAAATCTCGCTTCGACTTTGCTTGTTGGAAACCAGCTGGGAAGTTTACAAGTGGTGATCACATGACCCAAGAACTGTGCAACTGGCATAAATCCATGCCGGTTGCCAAGTGCCTGAATTTTGATCACATGACGCTACAACGATTGTAGGTGTGAAAACTTGTCATAATTCACTTTTATCTAGGGCTGTTGTAACTTTGAACAGCCACCAAACAAATGGTTGTTAGTTGAGGGTTACCTGTAACCTACATGGATCTTCCAAGCCCTGTTTTATGACCATTTTTAGACATGTAATTTGGTTCACAAATCTTTCCCATAGAGCCAAGGTTGGGCATCTAAGTTTGTTTCCCTTTTTCCCGCTTTTTTCTTTCCGTGTGTGTATACCTCATGATGTCCCTGACTATCTTGTCTGCTCTAAATATAAATGTTAGATTTATATTTACATAAATGAATATTTATTTATATAAAACTACAAGTTTGTGTCAGTGCCTCTGACTCCTTGTGGACAGCTGCCATGCAGTTTCCTGACTTTCTTTGCCTTGGGAATGGAACTAGTTTTGGGCCAGTCACTTTCTCTCAGCCGTAGGAAGAAAGCAATGGCAAAAACAATTCCAAAATGTTGTCAAGAAAACTCAGGGACTTGTCTAGGCCAGGGGTGTCAAACTCGATTTCATTGAGGGCTGCATTAGGATTGTGTTTTATCTCCGGGGGGTGGGGGGGGCGTTATGGTCAGGGGGCATGGCCAGCACAATGTCATTCGTTGAGGCTCCGTTTTCAGTCACAATGGCCTCCTGCAGCCGTCTGCCAGCAAAAATGGAGGCCAGGGAGGTCGCACATGTTTTCTCTGACAGAGGAACCACGGGCTGGTCTTTCGCTGTTTCCAGGAAGGCCCCCATGGGCCAGATCTAAGCACCCCAAAGGCCTTGAATTTGACACCCCTGGTCTAGGCAGTTGCCAGGAATCAAGATTGACAGGAATCCAGATGATGATGATCTTTGGCTTGGTTCCTGGTAACTTTGTAGACAGATTCCTATTTTTTTTTAGCACTGATACAGAAAAGGTTTTCCGTTGCCTTTTTTAAAGATATTTTTCCAGCGTTCCAGTCCAGCCTATAGCTGGGCCTCCCCACAACGTATGATAGAAAACTTTTTTTCTTGGAAAGTGGTAGGGGAAGAAATGTGTAGCATGTATTTGCCCAGTATGGTTAGTAGACCAACCGTTACTCTGCCTGAGTTGGCCACCCCTAGTAGTGATTATCCATGTTTTGATGACAGCCTGTCATGACAGCGGTGGAAGTCCAATTGGAGAAAAAAAAACTCTGGAAATTGACGTTGAAGTGAAAAATAAGAGCTAGACTACTTTCCAAGTACAGGTTCCTGTTTTAAACAATCTGTGCTGATTGGTTGTTGGTTACTGGCAATATGTAAAGGTGCTGGCATTATTCTTTAAAGTCTCAAAGGGGCTGCTTGTCCTGTTACACAGCTGACCAGTAGTTTTGGTCAATCATTCTCAAGATGTCCCACTGTTGCAGATCTACTTTCTGGCACATTGGATGGGGCTTCTCTCCCATTGCTCCTAGACAATGGAATATATTTATTCCATTCTCCCCGTTTGTGTTTAGGAAATCTGCAAAGATGCCTCATTCTCAACAAGTGTTGTTTACACCTTTGTTAGTGTGGAATTTTTTAACCGTTTATATTCGGTTTGCATATTATTGGATGCTTTGCATATTTGTCAGAGCAAGAAAGGCAGGTATAAATCAAATGCACTTAACAAATAACTATGTACCAACAACCAAGTTTGACCCTGTATGACTGCCAGGCAGGAAAAGATGGCCAGATACTGCCACCTACTGTGACCTGCTAGATCATGCTGGCTCTTAAATGCACATCGCAGTCCATTAAAAGGCTCCTTTGACCTGGCAAGTCTTCTCCAGCTGGGAGAACTTTGTGGGTGAAAGCTCTCATCAGCTCCCTCGTCCAACCCCTCTCTTCCTCTGTACTCTACATCCTTTGTTCAGTTACCTTGAAATGGCCTCTGCTTCCTTTATCTGTGCAGGTTAATAAATGTTCAGTTTTTTTCCCCCCCGATGCTGTTCAACCCATGTACAGCAAATACTTTGGATCCCTGAATGCATAAAAATATTTCTAAATTACATTGGCTACCAAGCTGTTACAACTATGTCTCCCTAGTTGCCTTTTTGATATGATCCTTTGGTGGGGGGGAGGGAAACCCTTAGTAAACAAGATAATATATTGTAAAATGGGATGGGGTCTTTTTTTTTTTGTCATTTCATACGTTTATTTGACAGAAAAACCTCCTTGCTGTAAATGGGATGGGGTCTTTCTTTTCCCTAGTAGCTTCTTGTTTCCAGATAGGACAATAACACCCATCAGGCATGAAGTATGATTGAAGATTTAAATATTATTAAAATCGGAAGGAAGGAAGGAAGGAAGGAAGGAAGGAAGGAAGGAAG